TAATAATCCTCCCTCCAAAGAGAGCTGGACTTTGAGATTTATTTGCAAAATGGTTGTAAACCTCTGGAAATCCTGAAGGTACTAAAGGAAACCACCACTAGATATCATCACTTGACTATCTAATAGATATCAGAAAAACTGTTAATGTTGATCTGGCATGTACAAATCCCTACTACACACCCAGGCAGATTAAGTCACCTTCTGTAGAGGCTTATATCCCACAACAGGTAACAGGCTGCGGAACAACATCCTAACTATAGGTCTCAGTTAATTGGGTAGATTTAACTAAAGAGCCCAGCATACTCCAGGGTCCTGGTCCCGGTACCTGATAACATTTCTCTGTGGGAACATGGAATGAGAACTGGAAATGAAAGCAAAAATTCCCCGCCCGTATTTCTCCTTCAATTTCAGATTTTTATGGACAAACATAACTGCCAGCCAGAATTTGGCCTTATGTGTCTGACCTGTAAAATATGGCACGGCTTTCATTTGTAATCAAATACATCTTCAGCTGTCTGGAAAAGCACACCTTTTAAGTGATTTTTCCCTGTGTAACTTGAGTTCACTGAGCCATTTTTCCTGCTAGTGAAAATGGGCACAGCTCCAGCGCAGCTGATGGAGTTTTACTCACTTAAATTCAGAATGGGACTCAGTATCTTTCAAACGTAAATAAATCCAAAGCATGTCATGGATTGAAACATGTCAATTAAAATTGAACTAAAAATAGTATCTAAGTGAATAATAAATGTATTTGTCTCATTTTTCCAGAAATTACCAGATTTTGCTCCTAAAAAGTATTCTGCAGCAACATCACAGATATCTTTCTTCCTACAAAGAGAAGGGAATTTTGAGAAGTTACTTAAATTTTGGATTAAACTAGAGTAACAAATGCTGGGTGGAAAAAGTACATAGACAATACTTTACCATGGGCAAAACTGCATAGCATCAATAACAAAATCTTGTCTGTGGTACTATACATTAACAATGTGCATTTATCTACATCTTCATTTGCACTGCTAAAACATGCATTATTGTGCTAAGTAGCTACACAAATCAGCTGAAAATTCATTTTCCCTTTCCCTCCTCCAAACTGTAGAATTTATTAAAATTCTAAAAACGAAGTCATCTTATGTTTTTCTATTAGAAAAACAAAACCCAAAAGCATGCCCGCAATAAAGTCATGTATTATCCTTACAGGTGCTAGACATATCCTTGCTTCATCTGCATCCATAATATGGCTGGTTTCAGTATAGCTGCTATCACGAATTATATTACACGCTCTTTGCCTCCATCAGGTTGTAATACAGGCTGTAATTATAACAAAGGCTACAGACAACAAGCTTTTCTCATAACGCTGCTTGTTGTGTTGTGTTTTCTTTTCATTCTAACATTTACATCATAGCTAAAATTGTCCACATATTTGATAAAACTAATTCAAAAATGGGCTCTGAAACCAGTCCTGAAAAGGTGTGGGATGCAGACAGCTTCACAGTAACTTCAGATTCTGCCAAATACAGAATATTCTCCTCTGCCACTCCATTTCTTTAATGGTGACAGGAGAAGCAGGTCCATCAGGGTTTCTCCCACTGTAGCATCTGATGATGCTCAGCAGCTTCTGCTGCTTCTGTTAACATCAATGTTGAAACCGCAGTTGACCTTGATATCTAGGGATAGGATTCTGAAGTTCGCAGGAGAGAAGGACAGGTCTCCTCTAATGCATTTCTCAGGGCAGGGAAGGATAGAAAAACAACCTGAGTCTGGTTTCAGCTTTAAACTCTGACTTCCACATGGTCTGAGGAAAAACCTTGTGCAATTAACTTCTTTCAAGACTTTGATTTGAACTATAAATACATCCCAGGGGAAATCAAAGGCTAGGGCAAGGCAGCACAAATGCCACAGAGCACTTTTTTCTATGGTTAATTGCAAACCCTTTGGTTACTGATGCCCTTTGGAATATTTTTCCTCTCACCCTCAGTTAACTTATTCTCTGCACCTCTACCAAGGAAGACTTCAGAGTGCTGCCCACTCTGGACTCCTCCAGAATTTAATGAAGTCATTTGGCCTCTTCCAAAGGATTCCTGACTTGATTTTGAATGCTGAGAAGGGGATTAATGAGACACATGTGGAATTAGGGCAATGCATAGTAAAAGCAAAGCATCCCTCTTGGAAAACAGGGACTGAAACAGGCACTCCTTGCACCACTAATGTCAATGGATTTTTGATCGGGCAAGGAATGTTCACTTAGGTCTTGGACATGTAGAGGTCTGATTTTATGTAATTATTTGCTACATACTCAGACTGTCATTTTAATCAGGAAAGAGAGGTTCTTACTTTGGCCACCCAGATCACTTTCCCCACAGGAGCAGATTTTTCTCAATCCTGCCAGTCACCGAACTACAGCAATCTCTCTTTTCTTTTATCCGTCTGAAAATACCCAATCCTACCACAATGCTATAATGGAAAAGTCTACCTCAGTCTGAAGATTGCCTGCAAAAACAACATAAAAGATTGAAAGTTGGGTATTCAACATGAGAAACAAAGAGCAGGAATAGGATTTTCAAAGGCAGCTGAGGGAAATGAATGTCCAGCTTTCAAGGCAATTCCAGAGAAGCAGAGTGCTCATCTTCCTACAGCTCTAAAACCAAAGTATGTAAAAAGCTGGGAAACACCTCAAAACCAGGGGTATTCACTCTGCTCAGATGCCGAATTGGCTCGATGCTTAGATAGGCTCATTCAGACCATCTATCAGACTGAGTAGGCTTGTTGGCCAATTTTTTTTTTGTGCTTTACTTTGGAGCTTTGATCTCAAATTTGAATGTACACACCCTATTAAACCCCACGTGCTTGCATTTGAATGTGTTAGACAACATGTACCTAAATTCACTGAGCCATGCACTTTAGTTAAGTCCCACCAACCCTAAAAGACATTGCAAGGCATCAGAAAAGGTTAAAAATCTTAAGACACAGGGAAGTTTTGTCGTTTCCTTTCCATTATGCACGCTGCTATATTTAGCAGACTGTTTGACACCACGTACAATGACGCACACAGCGGCAGTTGCATCCTCCTCCTCCAAAAGAAGCCCCATGCCATGAAGGCGCGGTCTTTACATAGGTACGGCTTATTAAGGGTCCAGTACACTTTTTTCCTGCAAATTTCCTTCTCTGTATAGGCCAAAACAGGTACAATTTTAACTCTAAGCCCCATCATACAGTTCCTATTACAGTAAACGCAACTAATTAATAAGCTAAATTACTTGAATTAAGGGCTTCAAGGTGAATTCAGATCTTCTCAATGTTCTGAGGCTTGCTTTCAAGCCTACTGATATTTTCATTATAAATGCCAGCTCAGGGATGATTTTTAAAAAAGCCCAACAACTAAAGATGCTGGATTTTAAAAAAACAAAGCCAAAAAACCCTCCAAAAAACCCAAAACAACAACAAAAAACAAGCAAAAAACCCAACAAACAACTTTGATCTCTTCAAAGGACTGATCAGATGTCAAGGGCCTTGATTTACAAACACAAATATGTTTGCATTTGATGTATTATTACCTAGAGATCACAAGATCATTCATATTCTCTTAGAGGGCTGACAAAGATTTAAAAAATGCGTATTATGCATCAGAGTTTAAGAACTGTGTCTCAAAGACAAAGGTGGTTTGGGCTTACATTAGTTGTTTCATAGCAAGTTTCAGTGAGAAGCCCTGTTTTATAACTCATCCCATACCTATGCATTGAGTGGCATCAGGAACTGGATAAAGTGATTTAACTAGCATGCTACCGTGCATTTTGGAAGCTTACAATCATATAAATATAGTTCGTTGCTAGATTTTGGATTTGGATTTTGTGATTGCAAACTCAGAACTGCAGGTGTCAAACCATACTCAGTCATAGTGCAAGTAAAGAGGTTTCCGTACTAGAACAACACTTCCGCAGACCAGGTAACAGTAATTCATCAATCATTTTACAGTGACACAGTGATTAATTTCCAGTTGAAATACTTACTGAGAAGAAGTAACAGAAAAGGAAGAAAATTAGTTTGAAAGCTAAGTAACACCATTTCCATATCAAAATCTGCATTTAAACTTCCGAATGAAGAAAGCTTGCACTACCTTTTCAGGAACATTGCAGTCGTCTTAGCTTGCAGGTGCTTCACTTCCAAGGAAATAAAGACAGAGTCCTTTTACTAAAAATGCAAATGGAACATAAAATAATAATACACTGACAGAAAGCTGATTTCATCAAAGAGGTAAGGATTTATTTAAAAGAAAAACATTTTTCACAGAAAATGAAATACTTTTACAATCTCTATCAACTATTTCACCTAGATTTTCATTGTAACATACTCCACCTATGCAGTACAAACGTACATATGCAACAATATCAGTGTCTTGATTCATGTTTCATGTCGATACACTTCCTATGTATGATAATATATACAAAATAATCCAGAGTCCTGAACATCTCCATCTGCTGACAAGATTTTCAAGCCAAAGAAAGACTTTTTCAGCCACTGTGATCAAGCTTTGCAGGAGCAAAATTTGAACCTGAATGTCCAAAACTTGGGCTTCAACTATACAGCCTAATCCAAAGTCCAGCAAAGACAACTTGACTCTTACTTACTGCCTGGGTAGATCAGTCTCTTAGATCAAAGTTTTACCAGCACATGTCTTGATTGATTTTTCCTGCAGGAGTAAATCCGATGGTACATGAGTAAAATTACTCATACAGCCAGAGTCTTAGAAGGAGGACAAATACATTATAAAAATACAGTTGACTAGCATTTTAGAGAGAAATTCATTTCACATTCTGTTTTAGAAAAAAGAAAACAGTGACCTTTACTTCCTCTGCTAACAAAGACAAACTATGGTTTAAGGGTTAAACTATTTATTTGAAAAAGAAAAAGTTTGTAGTGTGTAAATGTAGTAATTTCCCAACCTAATCCTTAGATTAAAATATTTGTATCCAAATCGTATTCATCTCTCCAGCTAAGTAGATCAGTCATGATGTAAACTGCATCCTGCAGCTCTTTTTCATGCATGCTGGGTTTGAGATTTGTAAGTTTGGAGTACTAAATTCAGAGCTATTTCTGTTGGTAGTGTTGCGCAAACTAAACAAAGCTAAAGAGTGCAAGAGCACTTCTCTGGCTTTTGATGTTTCTATATTCTGCTCCTGGGATATCTGAAAGCTTACCTGGTTCAGGTTACTCCTTATCAAATTGCTTACAGAACCACACCTGGTCAAGTTTTCTTCAAAAAACTGTTTATAGAGCTCTGCCACTTTTGTTTCCATGTACTTGTTGAGCATGGAGTTTGTAAGAGGCTCCTCACAGAGCATGATACTCCTTTCCCCAGCTTCATCTCCAGACAGGGACTTCATACTTGGCTTTTTGGGATACTCACATAGAGGGGACTGACCTAGAGGAATATCTATGGACAGTAAAACAGGGCCATCAGGAAGCTCATCACACACATGGTCCAAAACACAACCTGAATCACATGCATGGTCCCCCACACGGTCTCCCCCAATAAGTAAGTCAGGATAGTTTTGATAAATGCTGCTGCATGACCAGGATCTATACAAATCCATCTGTTCAGTATTTTGTTCTCTTTTGGGAATATGTACAGCTGGTGATACAGTTCCTTTAACAAGTGTTTTCTGATCTTTTGCAGGTACCTCTTTTATGGATCTCCATCGAGGACCGCTCCTGTGTTCCATTTTGCTACTTTTAGCAGAGATCTTATCCTGCTTCTCATGTCCATCAGCAAAGCCTTTAATTTTGGGGTTGTCTACAAGTTTCTGTCTCCAGATTCCCTCTTTATCCTTTTTGGATGCATGAGATTTGCGAGGCTTATCTTGATGACAGCTTTCCTTATATATGAGTCTAATTAAGATGCCTTCTGCCAACATGATGACAAGTGTGAGTAACAGTCTATTCACCAGAGTCCCATGTAGTCCTGTGAGTGAAAGACAGACAGAGTACCTCAAACTTATTTGGACGAAGAGGAATAATAATTAAAAAAATCAACAATGCACTTTTCATAAAGACTGACTGTGATTTTTCTTTTTCTCTAGAATATTTATTTTTAGTAAACAGTAAACCACATGCTTTTCTACAATTTTAACCTCTATACCACATCAACAAAAATCATTCTGAAGATATAGGAAGGGCATTAACTGAGTTCTTCATCTGTAGTATTGCTTCTGTTCCTAGGTATCTCTTCTGCATTGTGGCTAGTTGAGATAAATCATACTTATGAGCTGTAAAAATCAGCGAAATTGTTTTACTTGTCTATATCACTACCATCAGCTGCAAATCAACTTTTTCCATTGAAAACCAACAATTTCTAAGAGCTAAAGAGGTGACATAGGAAGAAAATCAAGATCAAATTCAGACACAGAGGTTGATTCTGAATCGGCCTGAGGCCTCCTGTGAGGCGCCAAGGAGCCTCAAAGAGATGCTGATAGTTCTTCAGGACTGCATCCAAAAATGCAGTTCACATACACAAATGTTTTTAGTGTCCCTCTTAATGATGATTTTAAAAGATATAAATTTGTCTTCCCCAATAGTGAAGTGATGAGTAGTATGTGTATCTATAGGCTTCACACTTTTACTAAATGCACGTGAATAATTAAAAGGTAGCCAGTACGTCTCAAAATAATCTGCTATGCTTAATGATTCCTTATCATTCCTTTTCAATTCACCTACTGTTAAAATCAAAGGGAATCTTTCCATTTAGAGCCAAGTCTGACCTAAAATCACTAAGGAAAAGATCACCACTCCTCTTACGGAGCAATAGGAAAGATGAACACAAGAAAATCCCTCTGTTCCTCAAATGTCTTTTTAATCTCTGCATGTTTCAAGTACCTTCACACACCTCTAGCGTGCTCATGGTTTGAAATAGTGGGGAGAGGCAAGGGATGAGGCAGTTTTACTGAAGAGTACATAGTAAATCTCCCAAAGAACACGACATACTGGCCTGCTGTTTGAAATACACCAAAAAACTCTACTTATATCATGGACAATTAAGGCTCAATACTTTTCACGGTGCTGGCAATTTACATCAGCAGTAATGCTATGCAAGTCACTAGATAGCTCTCACACAAACGAAACCTCTGCAAATTTAATATGATATTTGATATATAACCAGAAACATCCTCCTCACTCTACTCATTTGCTTCTAACTGTCAGCAACCAAACCATATACCCTGGCTTATTTGTTCTGCAATGAAACTTGATAGACCGGGTCACTTTTTTTAATCCCAGTACTCCTTTCAGAAAGGAATTCTAAAACTCCAATTACTTGAGAGATGGCAATTTTCTACATCCCTCCTAAATTTACACATTGCCATAGTACAACCATTTGCTTTTTTCTTTTTCAGGGTTCTTTTTTAGCTTAAATCACACTGTTCCCTCCCTGAAGCTGAAGGTAACACTGGAATTGTGATATGCCTGCAAGTGAGACCAAAGCAATCAAGAAAGGCAGTATACCGTGCCTTCTCCTGGCTACATTAGCATAACTGTTTATCTACAGAATCATTTACATATGCAAAAAGCAGGACAACATTTTCTTAAGCACTTAAGGGACTTAGGAAACCAAGTGCTGTTTTCGAAAGAGACAAGCGTACTTGGCAGTCTAAATCTTGCTGAATGTCAATGGAATTTGGAATGCTGTATGCCTCATTTGCTTCTGAAAAAACAGGACACAGGTACCCAGATCCTTACATGGTAAAAAGTTTTGCTGTATGGCTTTGAAAATGCTCATAGTGCTAATGTAAGAGCTCAAATATGGTAATCTTAGCAAAATTGCTCTCTTTCAAATAAAGTAAATGGTGCCTGCATTCTGGAACAAAGCATACGGAACAAAGCAGACTTACCAAGGTAAGAGAGGCAGATAATCACATAGCCCAGAACTCTCCTGCTTCAGCTGCTGTAAGAGAATAGATTCTTACATATTCTTCTTCACTGCTGTTTGTGTGGAAAAAACCTGACACATGATTTAGTTCCCCATTTTTTCCTTTTAAAACAGAAGTGATCGCACTGGAAAAGTGCACGGTTTTTGAAAACAAAGTGACAGCAAATCTAAAAGAGGATGTTAAAAAAAATGAATTGAGATGCTTCTGACCATGGTGCAATGCTGATGGGTTGCTAACTGCCATAAACCATTTAAAAACAACTCCTACTAAAGGATCAGGGTGCCTGTACTTCACCAGGCTGTTCAAAACTGAAACTGAATTCCACCAAACACTTCCATCTAGAGAAGTTCAGTTTTGTACTATCATCCACCAGACTTACAGAGGCGATGTTATTTACACCATTTCCCCTTTTGAAACAAACAGCTAAATTTATAGTCTTGTGACCTTCTTCTTGAGGGGAGGAAACTGACAGCTTAATTTCATCAAGATTTTGATGAATATCATTTGTCTGTAAAACGCAAATATGAGAAGCTGCCTCTTTGAAAGCAGCAGCCATCAGACAGCCATGGACAGCCTTGTTCGTCACTGATGAAAAACACTTTCTCTGGGCTCAAAACCTACCTCTGGCTCAATGGCATGTCAGAGGTGCCCCCACGGTGGTTTTAGTGTGACCTTCTCACAGCAGCTGAAACCGAGCTCATGCACTGAGCCACACCACTCCCCCAGCACTAGATCTAGTCCATAGACAGTTTGAAGAGTTTTCCATTGATGCCTTTTCTACACTTCCTTTTTCTCAGAAGATAAAAAAAAATCAGAAGCTGAATCTCATCCAAGTACTAGACAAAGGTCTTAAATAGACACTGTTTAGTGTAATGATAGGAGCGAGACACAAATGTAAAATATAACTAGAGTGTAAAGATAACATTACAGCAACATATTGATTGCAACCCACCATTCAACATGTTTTGGCAGTAAAATAACGATGTGCCTTAGAAATGAATCAATGTAAGGTTGGAAGTAACTATGACCATATAGGTCCAATGGAGTCTCTTTAGAATTATTCCTCTTCCCTCCTCATCACCTATATCTCACAAAAGACTTTAGTTTTTATGGAGGCAGAATGAAAGCTGCTTTTATTCCCACTGAATTTATATAAAACTCATTTCATATTCAAAGGCTGTTCAAAATTACTTTATTTCTAACCATCTTGCATGACTAATTTCTGCATGGTAGATGTGGTTGTGACTTCAACAGAGTACTCCTGCCCCCAGTCTTGGGGGGGGGACACCAAACCTCACAGAAACAGGGTGGTTCAAATTCCATGTAGTTTTAAAACCTTGCCTCCTTCACTAAGCTTATAATCGGTGCCAGCTGCAGCTGTGTTTTTTGTGCAGCAGTTTCAACAAAACACAAAAGTAACAGAGAGGGAGAGGAAGAAATCAAGTTAGGTAATGAGTCTTGAGTGATTAAAAACAAGTCACCTTTCATTTCAGTTGTACTCAGATGTCAAATACATCAATATTCAAGGAAGTTAATAACTTTCAATCAATAAGATCTTACAAAAAAACCCCCTATATTTACAAAAATAAAATCAGAACAAGACAAACCCAAAGTTATTTCAGAAGCTGAAAACAGACCGCAGTTGGAAGAAACAGTCAGCAAGACAAGTATGTCTGAATCCTGAGGCTAAACTTAAAGCACAATGTATAACAAAAGAAAAATAAATTTGACTAGATCATTCGTATATGGAAAAAATAAATAATACAGCATTGTGTATTACCATACACAATTATCATACTACATGAACTACAGCAGCATGTAAACAAAGTCCCTTATTTCAGCCCAGACTAGGTATTTTATGCACATATAGACATGAAATAGAAGTTGACTACATTAACTGGTTTTTTTCAAGCACAGCTGTTGCAAGTCTTTCGTTTTCCATTTAAACCAGCTGTACCATCCTAACAACCCCAACTTCTCGCAGTTTTCAAGCACCTTCTCGCACAGCAGCTCCTCATTCACCCGAACGCGTTCCAGCTCCGACTGATTCGGTAAAGCACAGCCCAAACCCGCCCTCTCCGCTGCCACCTCCCGGCTGCAGAAAGCGACCCACACCAACCGGGGCCCACGCTCCTGCAGCTGGGAGCACTCACCTATCTGGGATGCTAAAGTACTTTTTAAACGTAAAGAAGCCAAGTCTCACTAGACAGCGGCGGACAGGAGGGACGGGGAGGTCACAGGGGAGCAGAGGCAACCGGCGAGGCTGGGTCAGAGGAGAGCTCACCCCGCAGCCCAGAGCGGACACCCAGAGCAGGCCCCCGAGCCCAGAGCAGCCGGGCGGGACCCCTGCAGCAGGCTCAGGTGCCCGCGGACGAACCCCAACGCTGAGGGGAGCAGGCGGCCCGGGCTCGGAGGAGACTGCGGAGAGGACCCGGAG